AAAAGTTCGTTTATTGATTGTATATTTGATGCAAAATGTAAATAATTTGATATAATTAATTGATTTTTATTAATAATTGTTAAAGTAGAAGTAATTAATTGATGATATAAAAATTGATTCAATTAGTTCATTAGATAATCTTGAATAAATTAATTTATTGTTTTTTAAATTAAATCAACCTATATAAATAATAATAATTGTGATTTCTATTATAAATTTATGATATATGATTCTGAAATATAATAAATTAATTTAGATTTTAATGGAAATTTTTAAGTGTAAATACTTAGGTCATGAAAATGAAGAAATTATTGGATTTTGTTTGAATTAGAACTGTTAAAAAGCAACACAATATTGTTATGAATGTTTAAATACTAATCATTCAGAACATTTCAATGATTGTATTAGATTCAATAAAATGATCGAATTTATGAATGAATTTATACAAGTTTACAATCAATAAATCAAATAATTCAAAGAAATCTCTCAACAACTTTAAAATTGTTTTGAATAGATTTAAAAAAAAATGGATCAGGAAATTAAAACATTAGAAAATATATCTTAACAACTTTTAAACTAAGACTATTTGACTTTTAAGTCATAAATACATAATATAAAATAATATTACTCCAAGGAAAAAGAAAATTAGTTATGTATCTTTTTTATATTAATATAATAGAATAACAAATAATATAATTAAATAATATTTTTGAAACAATTAAAAATATTCTATAAGAATAAAAGAAAGTGGATGATAAATTTGATGAAGCTAATTAAAATGATATTAAAATAGAAGTATAAAATAAACAGAATGAATAAAAAGAGTAGTAATCGATTATAGAGGCTTAAAATAAATTTAATGAAGGTATAATCATATTTATTTTATGTTAGGAGTGGAATTACATAAATTAAATAAATATGGAGAAGCAATTGAATGTTACGACAAAGCTATTTCCATAAATCCTAATGATGCTGATTTCTGGAATAATAAAGGTAATTGATTGTTTTACATTATTATTTAGGTACTGCATTAAAAAATCTAAATAAATATGGAGAAGCAATTGAATGTTACGACAAAGCTATTTCCATAAATCCTAATGATGCTGATTTCTGGAATAATAAAGGTAATTGATTGTTTTACATTATTATTTAGGTAATGCATTAGGCAATTTAAATAAATATGGAGAAGCAATTGAATGTTACGACAAAGCTATTTCCATAAATCCAAATTATGCTTCTGCTTTTAGTAATAAAGGTAAACTGCTTTATAATTAAGGCTGTGCACTACATTAATAAAAGAAATATGAGGAAGCCATCTTTTCGTATGATTAAGCCCTTTCTATTAATATTACTCCTTTAAGACTTAGACTGAAAGGTAAACCATTCTTAATTTAATTTCCATATAGCTGATTCACTATTTGAAGTAGGAAACAAAAAAGAAGCTAAATAATTCTATTTGGCTTCATTAAAACAAGGATCAAACGAGAAGGATTACATATAGAAATAACTATCAAAGTTATGGTACATCTTCTTCATATATTGAAATATCATATTAATAAATCAAATATTTAATTTAATTTATATTTTTATAGTATTTGTCTCCTATTCTTTGAAATCATAATAAGAATGAAAAAATGAAATTGTTAAAATTTAAAATTTCGAAACAAATCAAAAATTCGTTAAGACTACTTTTAAAAGGAAAAATATATAAATTTGATCATATTTGCTCAATATTTTATATTATATATAAATGACCTTGCAAAATAAAACTAAATTTTTTCATAACACACTAAGACGATTTAGTTAACTTGAGCCTTTTTGATCTTACTGAAGTTCTTATTCTTTTTACTGCAATTCTGATTCAGAATAAAATCTTAGATTCTCTTGTTTCAAAATGACAGTTTTTTTGTGAAATCAATATCATGATGTTTTTGATCTTTTGTATTAATTACTCAACCTTTGTCTCTAAAAAATAAACCCTCTCTAATATAGGTTGTACTTTTAATAAGTCTATCCTTGATAATGAATCTTATTGATTAAATGCTCATAAATTAGTTTGAGATTAATAATATTACATATTTTTTCAAGAGATATAATTTAAGAATAACTTTGATTATGCTTTCATAATTAAGAGTTTCTCAACTCTTGTTATTAATTTTTACTTTTGAAAATGGCATAAATAAAAATTATATTTGTGAATCCTTTCTTTCAAATATTAAGTGAATCAAAAAATATTAAGATGGTTCCAAAATTTTAGACTTCAAATTTAGTTTCAAATTATGATTATCTGATGATTTGCTTAAAGTATGGATAAAATAAGTAATATCCACTCATGTTAAGCATAGTTCATAGTGAGTATAATTTCGATATAATTGATTAAGAAACATTTATTAGAAAAAGTTTAATATAAAATATGTTTCACTCCAACAGCTATGTGGAGTAGATTTTTTTTGAAATGCTTATTCTTTTCTAAAATTAAATTTATTATATATTAATAACAAATTTTAGAAATAAAGAAATTTAGTTTAATTTCAAAATAATAAAATCTAAATATGCAGACCAAGATTTGAACTCGTTTTTCATTATATCAATTTTGATTACTATAAAAGCATTATTTAACAAAATAATTTTTTCATTCTTATTTTATAGCTTTATTAAGATACTCCTATAAGAACATACCAAAATAGAAATTAATAAATCTGGTTTGAAAATGTAGTCAAAACTTTTTTAGCGTAATTCACTAATTATAATATTTCATTTACTTCAAGACTAGGCTGAAACATGTATTATTTTTGACATCTTTTAAGTAATTTTTTCATAATCAGTTTTAACATTCCTGAACAAATGTTATCAAAAATCGATTTCAATTTCTAATAACAAGTAAATGAGCAATTATTAATTTACTGGAATTTTATACAAAACTTAG